TAATAAAAATCGTCGTCTTTACATATAATAGACGACGGTTTTTATAAAAATCGTCATCTTTACATATAATATACGACGGTTTTTAGTAAAAATCATCGTCTTTACATATAATAGACGACGGTTTTTATAAAAATCGTCATCTTTACATATAATAGACAACGTTTTTTTTAAATAAAAAGTGTCATCTTTGCATATAGTATGACGTATGATAACAAAATCAAAGAAATAAATTGATAAAAAAAATTTGTATTAAGACGACGGTTTAAATATAAGGTATGACGTATAAAAGGAATAAATACGACGTTAAATTTTATAATACGTCGTTAAATGAAAAACAAATGTGGTGAGATTTAAAGATACCGTCGTAGAATTATACGAGAAAGACGTTGATATATTTTTATTTTCCGTCGTTGTACATTAATTTAATACGGCGATATTTTGTATTTTACCGCCGTGGATTTATTTGTAATTATATGGCGCCTTATACGAAAACTTGGTCGTGTTATTTTCTGCGTAAAAACGGCGGGTTTTTTTGAAATCGTCGTCTTTACTTTCTACGTCGGTCGATTCATAACTTCTGCCGTTCTTTATTTGCTTTGATTTTACACTGCAGAAATCCTGTTTCAAATAGACGTCGATTTTTTAATTAGGTACGTCGTTGTTTATGAACAACCATTTGAATCTCCATTTTTTAGGTGTCGAAGGTGTTATTACACGGCGGTTTTATAGAACCGTCGTCTTTTAAAAAACAACGACGGTTTTCACTTAGACCGTCGTTTTTTTCTGGTCATCTTTGTCACTTTTTGTAGTAGTGATTTATAAAAAAAATGAATGATATCTGAGATGAGAATCAAAGAGTTGAGATAAAGATAAGAGCATCTAATCCAATGGTTGAAGATGAGATCAAATTCTATCATGTCAGATATTGAATTGTGTGCAAATCAGAAACAATAATAGATGTTTAATTGTGCGCAAAAACGTGAAAAGATATCAACAGTTTAGATTAAATGTACTTTACAATCCAACGGTTCTTTTTGGATGAACTCCTATCTTCTCCAAATTTAAATATTTTTAGGTCTATTCGTTTGGAAAAATAAAATAAACTTAACACACACAAAATTAATTTTATAAAGTTAATACAATAAAAAAACACAGAGATGGGCTGCCTTGTCCCCCGCTCCCTTTGTGATGCTTTTGTTGGCGTTGTGCTGGGTTTTCCTTTCTTTTTTACTCTCTGTTGTAGCTCTTCTTTCGTTTTAACTTTTTTTGTAGCTTTGGTCTCTTTTCTTGTTTATGCCGTTTGACTGGTTGTGTAGTCTCGGTGGATCTTGACCTCTCTTTGGTCTTTGTTAATGCAAGTTCATCTTTACCAAATAAAAAATAAAAAATTAAGACAAGAAAATCAAATATACATCTTTGAATTTACATCTTCTCATTTGCGCAAAACCCACATTTACACCCTCAAAGGTGTAAAGAGGATGCAAAAATAGCTTTACACCCCCTACTATAGATGCTCTTACATCGGTACTCACTTTATCAGTGAATTGATTGCTCGAGGAACACTTTTTAGGGTGAACAATACTCAAGTGGTAAAATACACAACACCACTTTTTGCGGTGAACAAGTCCAATGACATGGTTTAAGTTTCATGTCTTCTTATCCCATCCCCTAATATCTTGATAAGAAAAATTAAAATAAAAAAGCCCACCAATTTCCCGCCCCTACTGTGATGAATGAAAGAGATCCCAATAATTAACTAATAAAAGAAAAATCCATCACGTAATAGTTACATCTTTCTTTTTTAGGTTTAGTTTATATTTGTTTTTGCCGGGAGGGGCTGGGGAATTTTATTTTATTTTTGGTCGAAAGGGCTGGGGATTGAGTACATCTTTGTTGAGACATAAACCAGATCATACAAAACTTTAATTAAATATTTTTTTAGGAAGAGAAAAATACCTTAATTCAGCCATCAAAGTTGAAAACTTTCGTTCATTAGTGATCATGGATAAATACTGTTACCTACTAACACGTTTGACTTTTATCCTATACCAAATATTTATAGTATTTCCCAAAAAAAAAAAAAAAAAAAAAAACGGGTATATTGTTTTTTTTATAATTCCTTAACCACTCCAACAAAAAATAATTATTATGCTTTCAAAATTTGTCATACATGAAATTTTAAGTGGAATCAAGTCCAATTCGTCCCATGTGATAAATGTAAACTATAACATTTCAGGAACAGTTTGCAATTTTTTATTTGACTAACATACCAAACGTTGCGTTTTAATTTATAGTTTATAATCTTTTATTTTGTTATACATAAAGAATTAAACGCAAGTGATTCTGCTGGTGACAGCCAAAGACGGAACTGTCTACAGGCTCAAGTCGGCTCTAGCAGTAGCAGTGGTGGCGGCGATCATGGTGATTGTGTGCAATTAAAGTAGTGGTAATTTTTGCCCTCCCCATCCTTATCTCTGTGTTCCTCTATTAATTTGATTACTTATTAGACTACTAATCGATTTTTGATTTCGATAACTTTTTTCACAAAGAACTTTCGAAACATAACCAAAAAAATAAACGGTTCAAATCATATTGTACAAAGAATAGTTTGTTCTCTATTAAGTTTACATCTTTGCTTGCGGTTGAAAATTTTCTACATGATCAATTAATCATTGTTATGTAAAATAAAATTTATGGCCATCGACCCCAAAAAAACAAAGAAGAAGGTATGGCCGGCAGGTTAAAGTCCCTTTCATTAGTCCCTTCATTTTGGAATATTCAAATTCTTAATCTATAAGAGTCGTCCGTACTCCGTACTTGAACTTCAACGTATCTTACAGCACACAAGGACTTTGACTTTTTCTTCTGGCCAATTAATATATAAGCACGTAGACTCTTACTTAAGGCATCGGTCATCATGCAAACACGCATGAAACACTGATGCCCAATTTTTTTTAAATTTTGATGATGAGTTTGGATAAGTTTCCCCACAAGTACATGTTCTAGTCTTAAGGAGTTAGGTTTTTTTTTTTCTTTTTTTTAATAATTTTTATTAGTTTTGTTTAGATATGGGCATGAATTGATTCGTTTCAGTAAAGAGTTTAACTCGTTAATTATACGAATTTTTGATAGTTTAAAATCTCTACTATTAATCGATACTTTGTATACAGATCAAACCAAACTAAAAAATGGGCATGATTGGTATGAGAATTCTTTTGATCAAATGTCTACCGCTAATTTTGCGGTTGACTCCGTACAAAACAAAGCATAAGAACTTTGGCTTATAACAAAACAAAACAAATTGAAATACATGTTGCTTATTATAGATGGAAGAAACTTTGACTTTTGCTTTCGTATTTTTGTCGAAGCTGTCAGTACGAGCATGATGTCTCCTAAAAATAATGTTTGATGCATGCACTGGTCTTTGTCAATGCAATGACATCCCCGTCATACAGGCAGAGTGTTCTCAATCCAACCGTTGAATTTTTTATTTATACAAATTCAATGATAACTTTGTTTTCGGTGGGCAGAAATTCAATGATAATTAATGATTATTTTTTGCACCATTTACGCACACACAACTAATCACTTTAATAAAAATTGTAAATTAGCATGATTAGTTTTTTTTTTTTTTAAACACTACAAGATCTTCCGTACTTGTACCGTTGTACGTTGTCCTATATTAACAATCAGATAACAAAGTGTTTGGAGAGAGAGAGAGAGAGAGAGAGAGAGAGATGGACCAAAGGAAAGGAGGTTCGCTTGAAGAGACACCAACCTGGGCTGTATCAGTATTTGCTTTGTTTTTCTTCTTCCTATCCTTCATCATCGAATCTAGTATTCACCATCTAACAACGGTATGCATGCATGCATGTGTATTAAAATGCTTTCATGAATCAATATTTAGATGTGGTTAACATTTAGTTTGGTTGTTTCATCATCAGTTTCTTAATAGAAGGAGAAGAAAATCCCTAAATAGGGCTTTAATGAAGTTCAAAACAGGTAATTTGCCACCTTTTCCAAGTTTTTTAACTTATAAAAACATATTTGGAAGGGGAAAATTAGGACATCGAGTGTATGATAGATGCTCGTAATTACTTAAACTACAAGTTCTTAACCATGTTCTCCAAATTTTGTTTTTGTTCGTTTCCCAATTATTCGAATAAAAAAAAAAATTATGTGCAAATGATTCCCATAAGATTTGTTCTTGATTAGTTCGTTTGATTTTGAATAGAAATGATGAAACTGGGTTTGGTATCACTGCTTCTTACGATATCAGAGGTGCCAATATCAAAAATCTGCGTTGCCCAAACTTTGGCAGACACTTTTCTTCCATGTAAATATGTGGAAGACGCAGAACCTGCTGTCTCATCCGCCACGCAACTTTCAGGCTCAAATTCTACCAGTTTTTCTAAGGAAGTCAACGATGAAAATTACTGCGAGGCAAAGGTACAATAAACTTTATGGACACCTGGTGTAATGGGCTGGTAAATTAGGTACACCAAATTTGTGCGCCAAATTTATAAAATTATAACAATCTTGATCTACAACCTAATACATAATAATAATAAATGGCAGAGCGAATTAAAGCTCACAAGGATCAACCCACATTCCTTGCATAATTATATTTTGCTTATAGCCGGCTTCTAACCTCTTTTTTCTTAGCAAGTTGGGGCATGAAAGCTAAGTGCAAACTTTTTATATCGGATAGGTAGAGAGGTCCATGGTAAAATAATTTTTGTTAACTAAATTTTTTTTATCCTTCTTGGTAAATATTTGATTATACTGTAACTTCATCTCATCATTAAAATCCTGTTGGATAACCATTTCAGTTTCAGTTTCAGTTTTTAGTTTTTATTTTTTGTGTTAGAATATAGAGGAAGAAGAGGGACAATGGAAGTAAGAATGAGAGGAAGAAGAGGGACAATGGAAGTAAGAATGAGAGGAAAGAAGAGAGGGGAGGATGAGAGGGAGGAGTAACAAAAGTGAAAACAAAAACTAAAAACTGAAATCCATTTGAAATTGTTTTCACTTTTGTTACTGCTTCCTCTCATCCTCTCTCTCAATCTCATCTTCACTCTCATTCTCACTCTCATTTTCCTCTATACTCTAACACAAAAAATAAAAACTAAAAACTAAAATTGAAATAATTATCAAACAATCCTAAGTAATTCTTATCATTACATGTCACGTAATAACAAATACAGATACGTAATGGTCTAAAACTATCTATGTAAGAAATATTCTTCGATCAGACAATAAAAAATATTTCTTCGAGGTACAGCTAGCACTCCACTCTACTAGTTAAATTTACAATTATAACCTTATAGCCTTACCTAATTAAATTTAGAATGTTTTTTGTTTTTGTTTTTTGTTTTTTGTTTTTTGTTTTTGTGTGATATTTAGGGGATGGTTTCTCTAGTGTCAAGGGAAGGAGTCTTGCAACTGAACATCTTTATCTCTCTGTTGGCAGTTTTTCATGTGCTCTACTGCATCCTAACCATGTTTCTTGGGATGGCCAAGGTATCAATTCATACATCTATTATGTATATTATATATAAATATATGTACCGTTATATAGGGAAGAAAAAAGAAGATAAATTTAATAAGTGCTAGAACCTAATTGCAAAATAAAAGATTCAGTTTGCTTGTCTGTGTTTTTGGATTTATTTAAATTACGGTGGACTCTAGAGTAGCTGGGCTTTGGAATCTCAATTGTTTTTTTGGTCATTCGTTAGGGAGGTGGAGGGGGAGTATTATATTGGGTTTGGTGAATTGAACCCGGATGCACTTGGGGAAGAGAGAGAGTTTGACCTACTTTTCCACTGTGGTGCCACCCCATGTACAGTTTAGGAGTCTCAATTAGCTGATAAGAAAAAGGAGAGTAGGTTGACTAGGCGTAGGCGTCTCCATTGGTCTTGCTATGATTATATATTTTATTTTATTTCCTATGGATTATAATTTAAATTGATATTCAAGCAGAAAATGAGTTCATTCTTGGTCCTGGCCACAGATATGACGTAGTGTACACATGCTATTTTTGTAACAACAGCCAGGATTATTTAAGGACCAACCAGCAAGGGGATCAAGTAGTTAAGATAATTTAATCTTGCACCCAAGGTCCTAAGTTCGATTTCCTCCTCTCCTAATATCGCTAATATTAAAAAAGAAAAAAGGACAACCAATCATGTTTTGGGTCATACTTAAGTCAGTCTGTATATTTTACACATTAAACCCGGTCTGTCCTATTTATTTTAACATGTTTTTATACAAAAAGTATATGGACGTTTACTTGATAAAAAATTAATCGATTACTGATTTCTGACAATTTTTCAAGTTATTTAGTAGTATTTATTTTAACCCGGTGATAAAATTCATGCGACAATAGTTTCCTACCTCACCTCTCTTATCTCCTTCTAGGAAACAAGAGAGAGATTTGTAGGGCTAGATTAACCATGTTGCCATATATTATTGTTTCTTTCTTCTTGAAATGACTAAGACCTTCATTGAAATTTGATTGTGAATACCAGATGAGGAAATGGAATGCTTGGGAGGATGAGACTCAAACATTAGAATACCAGATTCGTAACGGTAACGCCTCTGCATCCATCTGTAATGGTCATTGTTATTATGATACCCAACTTTGTCACTTCCACAATTAGTAGCATCCAAGACTTGATGAGCAATCCCTCTGCATGATATCGTTCTTGCAATCGGCTTCATTTTGTTACTAGATTTTGCACAATTCTGTCTGAAATTTTTTTTTTCCTTATTTTGGATTTATACTTGTTTAGAAGGAAATTATGACTGCAAACACGGTTGTACGGCCGATTAATGGTAATCAAATTTCTTATGTGTATACAGATTCAAGGAGGTTCCAGCTTATCCATCAAACTCCTTTTGGGAAAAGACATTTGAAGTTCTGGAGTAAACATCCTCTGTTGCTTTGGCCTGTAAGTCATAATCATATTAACTCATGGTGTTCGTAGTTGAAGTATTACACATTTATCCTTACATTCGAAATCCTGTATTCAATATCTACTGATCTAAATTTTGGTTGTATTTATAACATACAAAAAAGCTCATGAGCAGAGTAAAGAAGACCTTGCTTATGTTAGAGACAGGGTAAAGATAAATGTGAACACATAGGTTCGAAACCCCATGCACCCAATGAATATTTGTGGATAAACCCTCCTTCCCCAATCGCTTGTGCTAAATAATAATAATAATAATAAACAACCATATGGATTCTGATATGGTTTATATATAGGTTTGTTTTGCTCGACAGTTTAGTGGTTCAATCTCAAAAGCCGATTACATGACGCTGCGAAATGGGTTCATTGAGGTAAGCAAGATCACATAGATAGACGTCATATGGAAAAATTAAGAAACAAAAATCTCATTAAGGAAAAAAAAGAGAAAGAAACGAAATATAAAAAGTACTTTTTTACAGCTCGGATCTGATGTTTTCATGTTTGGATTGCACAGGCAAACTTCACCAAAAGTAGCAACTTCAATTTCCTGAAATTCCTTGCAAGAGCTTTCGATGACGACTTTGAGCAAGTGGTTGGAATAAGGTAAAACTCTATACATTTTTCTAAGTATAGCTTATCATTTCATGAGATGACTCTTTTAACATGCATTTTGGAACTCTTTTTGCAGATTTTGGATCTGGCTCTTCTCCATGCTTTTCATATTTTCAAGTGCACATGGTAAGACAACTGCAGCATTTTTTACTTATTTTATTTCTCATCGTTTAAGCTCTTGACTCTGAACGAACGTGGGCTAATGGAGTAGGATTAGAATAAGTTCAGGGTTCGGTTCTCTTCAACATAAGTTTTGAAGGACATTTATGCTTAAATGTATTGACAATTAATGGTGGTAGCATTATGCCTTGACTTTTTTTTCTTTTGCAGTGTTTTATAACCATTATTGGCTACCATTCATCCCCCTACTGGTACAACACATGACATCATCTTCTATATATATAGCAAAATATTATTTGAAGACTTCAAATTATTATTTTTTCTTAATTATATATAATATTCTGTCAATATTTCTTTCGTGTAGATTGTTATAGTTGTGGGTGCAAAGCTGGAAATGATCATAACCAAAATGTGTGTGGAGAGTTGCAAGAATCCCGTCATTCGAGGTCGTCTTGTAGTGAAGCTCAATGATGACTTGTTTTGGTTTGGTCGGCCACATTGGCTTCTTCATCTCATCCAATTCGTCCTAATCCAGGTAGATATAACACAAGCATTTCAAATTTCTTCATCATACTAGATTAATAAATACGAAAAGGAAGCCAACAATATAAGGTGAATTCCCGAAATGACCTCTAAATTGTAATGAAAGGAAGTAGGCAATGAAGATAGAGTTTAAGAAACTTTCATTTTGTGGGGAATAAATTATAAGGTGTTGATATCCTATCATTTTATGGGGATTGGAACAAATAAGTTTCTTTCACGACTAATCTTTCTATTTTCAACTTGAACAAAATTTGAAAATTGGCCTCCATTTATTTTTGAGACGTAGGTTGAATCTAGTGAGATATGCAATTCAATCTAATCATTGGCTCCAAATGCGACCAATGAAAATATTGCAAGGTTCAATGGATATAGATTATGTTTACATATAGTCACCATATCTTACTTGCTTTTTTTATTTAAAAAAAAATTAAAATTAAAAAAAGCTTATTCATGGTTAGGTATTTATACATGTAAATAATAAAATAATTTCTTATCATATCGTTGTTATGTTGTTTAATTGTGAATTTGAATCACATCAATCAAAGTCAACCTAATTAAAATCGTCGAATTTTACAATCTACCAATCATATATTGACAACAGTGGAGCAAAAGGATAGTGTATATATATTATTAAAATTATGACGGGATTTGAATAAGTATTTGAATGGATTGCAGAACTCCTTTCAACTGGCATTCTTAACGTGGACATGGGTATGTAAATCTTATATATGTTGGCAAATTCCAGCAATTTTCATATTCTAAAGCTTATCCCATATTGGCAATAACAGTTTCAGTATGGCCAAGGGTCTTGCCTAAATGGCAAAAGGGAAGTCATAGCCATAAGGATTTCCATGGGACTTCTTGTGCAGTTCATTTGCGGTTATGTGACCCTACCTCTTCATGCACTTGTTACCCAGGTAAGGAAAATGTATATATATGTAAGATTGAATGGATTGAGCTACAAATCATGCATAATTTCAAATCAAATGACATCTCTTATTTTCTTCTTTCTTTCCCCATAATGGTTTACTTCATAGATGGGTTCTGGCATGAAGAAAGCAGTGTTTACTGAACGTGTAGTAGATGGCCTAAAAAACTGGCACAAGAATGCACAACACAGGCTCTCCAAGAGCAGATCCATTTCCAAGAACACTGTTGAAGCAACTGACTTTGCCATTTCAAATCAAATGAGTACTGAAATACTAGATTTTGAAAGTTTTCCACATTCAGTCGTGGAAAGCTCTCCTTCTACCTCTGAAATCATAGAAGATAAAGTCCCACACAATTCTCTTCCAAGACCAGATACAACAAGTGTATCGATTCCAGAAATCACCAAGGAAGAAGAAAATCCAAAGATCAATGGAAAAATGATAACTTACGATGGTGAGATATCATTTGGGAGTAGTTGGAAATTAGAAAGTAGCAAGCGAAGTGGAGTGAAATCACTTCAGTACGTAATTGATGAAGATCATGACGTCAACTACTTTGATAAATGATCAGCAAGAACATAACTCCTCACCTTGGAAATGCTTCATGATTATGTTAATATTTGTATAATATCAAATAATGAAGTTTTTCGAAATATTAAGAAATTCTTCCAAACTCGGTAGTAAATTAGTAAAATCATAGTATTATTGTGGAGGTAAGATTTCACACGCCAATGACATAATTACAAACGGACAAGAACATAGATAAATAGATAAGACTACTATGAACAAGTGTGAAAAAGGGATCTGCGCTCAATCACACATTAATTAGGAACACATGACAACGTTTGGTTCAACTGACAGGGGATATCCCCACCCACAGGCTCAACTAAGGGTGGGTATCGGAACCGGAAATCAGGAACACCGATCCAGACCAGATGGAAAAAACTAATTGACTAAAAAGTCAACAAATCGGCACTGAACCAGCCCGAATCGGTTCCAGTTTTGGTATCACACCTTACCAAACCGGATCAGATTAGTTGTGTATTATTTTATTTTTTTTAAAATCCAATGCTACATTTTTAATCTCATAACTAATATTTCCCCAAGCCCAACTTCAAAACATCTTTGTTTACATAAAATTGGATTATTTGTTCATTTTCAAGCCCAAAAAATAAAATTTTAGTTGAAATTTGTATAAATAATTTTTTTTTGTTGAAAAAATTAGCCCAATCACCGTTACATGAGTAATGGCCCAAGTATAACCTGCATTAAACCTATTAATTACTCAATCTGAGTCATTGAAGGAATTTGAACCTTGACCCTCAAAGGCGGAAGCTCATTCACAAACCACTACACTAACCTTATTTTTGTGATATTTTTTCAATTACACAATATTTATGTTAACAGTCAATGATTTTGTTAAATATAAAAATAAAAAATTCCATTCATGTCAACACCCATTCACACAAGATTTGTACCAAATACCTCATGCTCTAGAAAGTTACAAAAATTTATAAGTTTTAAACCCTTATATATATTATATTGGTATTTTTTAGGTTTATATAATAAAAAATGTAGATATCAATGATGTAACAAAAAAACATTGCAATATTTAATTTAAGTTATTATGGTACTCTATAACAAAACAATGTAGATATCAATGTTGTAAAAAAAAAAAAAAAACTACAAAAAAAAAACTGAAACTGCAACCAAAAACAAAAAAAAATTGCAATACAAAAACTACTCTATAACAAAACAATATAGACACCAATAACGTAATATATATATATATATATATATATTAAACATAAACATAAACAGCAACAAAAACAAAAATCAATTCTATAAAATTACAAATTGCATTGCAGAGTCTGTGTAAAAATGCACCTATTAATAAGCGAGGAACCAAAAGTCAAAACCATGATGAAAGTACTAAAAAAATCAAAAAACATATCAATTGCTGATAGAATTGTATAAGTTCTATATACTTCACACATTCATACTAAAATCCGAATGATCCCTAAACAAGTGTACATGAAACAAAAAATGCTTAACAATTTCTAGAAAAACCAATTATACAGAAACGGAAACTCATGAATTGCATATGAATTGTTCATGTGAATTGATTTCTAGAACTCCTAAGCTAAACATCTTGCTTTAGGGTTCTTGTGATGTTCATATTCTCATATGTGCTTAATGGATTCTTTTGTGTTTTCAGTCTATGTAAATACCACGCCTAGATTGCACTCAGGACTACAAGCACAATCATGCATTAGAGCATACTTTAGGAGAATATATGCAATTTGATCTAAACATCAGGGACTTATTTTCGAAAATCTTCATGAATGAATCTGTACTTGTATACTTGCTGCCATAACATGATTAGGACAATTAGGGTGGATTCTAAAGCCTTACCATCTTGTCTTAGACCTTTTCTTATTTTCTTGTTTTCTGTTTTTGTGTTTTCATTTCTGTTTTGTGTAAGAAACTGCATTGGATCACTCTATCATCAATCCCTGTGAAATCGACCTTTTGGAGTAGCTGAATCTACACAAGGAACATTTTATCCAATCCTGGAATTGTGATCTTAAACATTTCTGAACACACAACACAACTTAAAGTTGTAAATTGTTTTCCGAATGTGGTATTGGGTGCTAAATGGCCACTGTTTTTATTTGTTTCTACTTTTCAAGGTATGTTTTTCTCAAGTTGGAGATGCAAGTAATGGAGTTGGATTGAGAAGATTATATGTTATCTTGAGACTAGATCATTGGAGTATGAGAATTCTTCCTTTAATATTATGTAATCAGATTCAAGTGAAATGAAATAGGAACTTTCATATCTCAACTTTGGTACCATCAGTAATAAGCTAATGCATTGGTGTTCTCATATCTTTCTTTTCACAATTGTGTTTAACTCACCCTTGCATACTTTATCTTATTTCAAGTAATTTTTTATTTGGAATTGAACTTGAGCTTAGTTAAACTATATGCAAAACAAAACTACAGAGCCGAGGACGCTGTTACGCACCAATAAGAATAAGTCTCTTGCAAGAGACCAAGTGAAACAGACTGCCATTGTGTATACCCAATGGAAAAGGTAGACTTGCAGACCAGAGGTTTCATGTTCGAATCCCCACCGTATCATAGTAGTGTGTGTGTGTGAAATGCTCCTCCCTTATTGTTTAGACTATTGCTTGTACTAAAAAACAAACTATAAAAAAAAAATTAAAAACAAGAAAAGAAAATTTCAAATAAACTAAAAAACTATAAGACAGTTGTGATTTATAATTTTTTTTTTTAAAAAAAAAAACCCTCTCAACTCAATACACAAGTTGTTTGACAAATATTCAATATTTCATGAGAAAAAAAATTGTAAGACACGTGCAAGAGACTTATTTAAAATTCTGAAAAAGTTAAGAACTATTTTAATATGCATTACAAATCAAGAACTCTATAGTGAGGGCCTAAACCCTAAAACCCTAATATATGACGTTTAGATGAGGTCCTATCCCTTAATTATTGGATCAAATTGGTTAGTTGTTGGATTAAATTGGTTAGCTTGATCCTACGGTTAAGAGATATGAACTCATCTAAGGGCCATATATAAGGCCCTCACTATAGAATGACTCTGCAAATGATAGGTACATGTAACTAAAAACTATCTTATAGATTAGTATTTATAGCCAAAGTTGGCCCTGGCCCAAGGCAACAAATGACACATCCTGAGGCCCAAAATTGGGAGGGGGTGGAAATTTTTTTTTATTTATAGAGCCCCTACATATATATATATATGCACACACAAAAAAAAAAATGAATAACAGAAAAACTAAAGACAAATCACTTTTTCACTTTTTTAGTCAGTTATGGTTGGTTTTAGTGTTGCTTTTGTCCAATTAGCAATAAAGAAATCACTTTCTTCTATTGTTAATGGCCACAAATCACATTCGGTACTTCCATTCTTCTTTCACAATTATTGGCTTATTTAATGTTTGATTGTTTATGGTTGTTTTCCTTCTATATATTTTTTTTCTTCATGATTTTCCATTACCAGATTTTTAAAGAATGGAATCATAGATATCTCATACAGTTTTGTGAGAGATGGGGACTTCCAATGTTTGCAGTTATTCATGAAATCCTAGCTTTTTGTAAGTTGTGTTTGTACCATATCTAACCGGCCTAGGAACCCACGCTTGTCAGCCATGCCTTACAATCGGTAGTTGCTCCTTCCGCACCACCTACTGATCCTACACCAATCAAGGCCCAAGATTCCACGTTGGCCAACCCTGCCTCGCAATCAGCTGGTGCTCTCGGCAGCCTTAACTAATTCCAAGCTTGCCAACCCAATCACGCGGGCTCACAATCAACAGTAGGCAGGTGCCCTTAGCACCCCATGCCAATTCAGTCCCCCAGAGGGTATCTTGCAGGAATCTCTAGGGTTCCTCACTGGTATATTCGCTAGGACACATGGTAGCCTCCCAAGCTACTCTACAACTCCCACAGAGCCCCTTGTCCCGAGGGTACAAGGTAATAGCTACTTGACACTTATGCCCTTACTTTGTTAATAGCTAACTTCTCTTTCTTTCGGCTTACTTTAGCATCGAAGATTTTTCGGCCGGTATGACACTGGTGCATTAGGTCTTACCTATTGCTTTCTTCTCTCTTTCTATACACAGATAATGTTCAGCAAGCCAAAGGGAAGTCCTTATCGAAGGCAGATCTGATCCTTCGATCATCCACCACATCTTTAAGTTTGGGCCTACTACTGGTCACCTAGTTTTGAGCACAAATATATTGGCGTCATTTGTGAGAATTGTCTCTAATTGACCCATATCTCTACTGAGCAAAAATGAATCCATCTTCATCCTTCACACCCGATAGACATATCCTCGGCCTCAACACCGGAGCTAGTCCCGCTGCTGGCCTGAGCTGCTGCAAAGAGCCAAATGTATGAAAATTACCCCTGGGTCTGAGTTCAAGAATCAGACCCCAAAGGGTAGCTGAGCCTTAGGAAGCACCTTGGTTACCTTCATTAGCAAAACTAACAGTCGCTTACAGATAGATTCTTAACTTGGCATAAGAAGCTTGTGGCATGGAAGCAAAGTAGTCATGAGTTTAGCATTAAACATAGAGAGGGCTATGAGTTCCTATGAGAAACAGAGGTTTCAAAATAGAGGAGAAGGAATTCTAAGAGTCGTTGATGAGAGAGATATGGGAGAATAACAATGGGTATGTTGAGTAGTTTTCGGCAGCTTGACAAAAGCTCTGTCAAGCTCTGGAATGATTTACCAAAAGAGAAAATGGGAGGAGATGGAGTAATGGGGCTCGAAATTGCTGAGGTTTCAAGGATGAAAGATGAAGCTTTCTCTCTGGATGTGTGTTGTTTGATGGGTAGGAGATGACCTTTTTTATAGCTGTTAGAAGCACCTCATTTCCAAGAAACCCTAATGGTTTCTCTCCAATTTTGCTAAGTCTACTCTTTCATTTCTGTTCCCTCCCTTTGACTTATCCCGTTTTGTGAAATCTTCCTCTGTCCAAACACACAAAGACAAGATTTTTTGGGAGCTC